CTGAGAGTCCACCTGCCGATGCAGGGGACACGGGTTCGTGCCCCGGTCCGGGAAGATCCCACGTGCCGCGGAGTGGCTGGGCCCGTGAGCCATGGCCGCTGAGCCTGCGCGTCCGGAGCCTGTGCTCCGCAGCGGGAGAGGCCACAACAGTGAGAGGCCCGCGTACTGCAAAAAAAAAACCCTCAGCCCTAGAGGTCTTGAACTAGGTCTAATACCCTTTTGGCCACAGTTGTGAGATTACAACTCTGGCTTTGAGTTTTCTCTCTGTTTCTGTTACCTATGGATTTCCCTTTCTTTTTCCAAGGTTGGGTTTTTGTTTTTTTTTTAAATTTTGGGTCATATTTAACCCAGCCTTTCTATGAATTTGGAGTAGGAAAGGTGTTTCCATCAGCTGAGTTCACCACGTTCCCAGAAATGATTCCCATAATAAGTGAGAAACACTGCTTTGCTTGGGTAAAGTAATTATACCTTATAAAGTTCTTCCTGTTCACTGTCTCATTTGCCTTTTTTCTTTATTAAAAATTTTTTTTCTTTTATTTGTGTTTATTTTATTGATGTATAATTGCTGTACAATATTATATATGTTACGGGTGTACAAAATAGTGATTCATGGTTTTAAATGTTGTACTCCATTTATAGTTATGACAAAATATTGGCTATATTCCCCGTGTTGTACAATATATCCTTGTAGCTAATTTTATACCTAATAGTTTGTACCTCTTAATTCCTTAGCCCTATATTGCCCTGTTCCTCCACTATCCCCATGGTAACCACTAGTTCTCTATATCTGAGTTGGCTTCTTTTTCATTATATTCATTAATTTGTTTTAATTTTTAGATTCCACATATAAGTGATAACATATAGTATCTGTCTTTCTCTGACTTATTTCACTTAGTGTAATAGATTCCAAGTCCATCTATGTTGTTGCACATGGCAAAAAGTAGGGTTTTTTTTACATTCTTTTTTTTATTGTGGTAAAAGTCACATAATGTAAAAAATACTGTTTTAACCATATTTAACTGTACTCTGTTTTTATGAAAGGCATGGTTCGTCCTCACTCCCAGGGACAGTCCATTGGGGATAAAGAGGAGCATGCTGGTGATTACAAGACATATTAGGGCAACACTATGCTTTGCTTGGGAAAAGTAATTATACCTTATAAAGTACTTTCTGTTCATTCTCTCATTTGCCTTCTATATTATATTTTTAATTTCTTAATTTTTCTGACTGCATTCTGGGAAATTTCCTTGAACCTGTTTTTTTTTTTTTTTTTTTTTTTTTGCGGTATGTGGGCCTCTCACTTTTGTGGCCTCTCCTGTTGCAGAGCACAGGCTCCGGACGCGCAGGCTCCGCGGCCATGGCTCACGGGCCCAGCCACTCCGCGGCATGTGGGATCTTCCCGGACCGGGGCACGAACCCGTGTCCCCTGCATCGGCAGGTGGACTCTCAACCACTGCTCCACCAGGGAAGCCCCGAACCTGTTTTTATATTTATATTTGAAGAGTGATTTCATACTGATGCCTGCAATAACCAAGCTAACACCACAGGGTTCTTCTTCACCTTTCTCTATTCTGTAATTCATATCTCCTTTCTCCCATGATTAGAAATGTGTTTCCCAACATAAGCATGTATACTCAGTTGCTGTACACTCAAAAGAATTGTAAACTTAAAACACCATTAACAACATCTAACCTACTAAGTAAACTTAGTTCTCTTGTCTTTACAATATATGCCATTAAGAGTTTACAGTCAAAATATCATATTTAAAAGCTACTTGACTTAATTATTTTCTCTGTATGATTATGTTATCAATCTAATATATACTTAGCCTTATTTTTTTTCAGTTTGCAGTCAATTTTATATCTACTTTTTGCATCCATTTTTATTTAACTTTTTTAGTATGTAAAATATTTACTTGGTTCAAAAGGCAAAACTGTAAAAACATACTGAGAGAAGTCCACTTCCATCTGTATCTTTGTTTCTGGTTATCTTTCCTATTTTTCTTTTTGTATAAGTAAGCATGTATTTATGTATATTTTATGGGCAAATGTATTTTTATTTCCCCCTTTTTCTCACATATTTTCTTTTTATAACAACTACTGCCTCAATGAATAAAATAACCATGGGCATCTGTTACTTAATATTACGAACTTATGTCTTCAGGATAAATATCTAGAAATGGAATTGCTGGATCAAAGGCTCTGTGCCTGTGTAGCTTGGTTAGGTATTGCCAAATCCCCCTCCCTAGGGCTGTTACATTTTGCGTTCCCATGTGGAGCGTTGGAGAATGCCTGCTTCCTCCCAGCCGCACCGGCAGTGATGGTTGCCAAGCTTTTGAATCTTTAGTGGCATGAAAGGAAAGAAATGGTACCTCAGTGTAGTTTTAAAGTGCATTCCTCTTATTTTGAAGAAATGGGGCATCTTTTCATGTGTTTAAGTACAATTGGTATATCTTTTTCTGTGAACTCTGTCTTTTTTTTCTAGTTTTATTGAGATATAATTGACACATAACATTGTATAATTTCAGATGTACAACATGATGGTTTGATATACGTGTATATTGCAAAAAGATTACCACTATAAATTTAGTTAACATCCGTCATCTCATATCGTTACACTTTTTTAAAATGTCTTTTACTCACTTTTCTATCTTTTTCTCTCTCTTTATTTTTAAGGTAGAATGATTAGTCCTGTGATATGTTTTAAATATTTTCTCCCATTTTGTCATTTGTCTAACGATTCAGAATTTGTTTTCTTTACCACACTGTTATCACTTAGGCAGTTAAGCATAACATGCTTATGTAGGACTTTATTTTGAGACACCAGTTAATAATTTACTTATAAGAGTGAACAAAATTCAGAACTCAAAAAATAAAAGCAAAACCCAGAAATAAGCTTACAAAGACACAGACATAGAAGGCATAATTCTAAAGTATATTTACTGCACGAAGCTAGGGTACCTAACGTATTTTGCATAACTGAATCAAAATTCAGAATATTTTAGCAGCCTGGAAATACGGGCCAAAAGGCACAAAGTAAAATTTAGTAGACATAACGTTTTGTATTTAGGCTTAAAAACACTAATGCCGTACATTTAAGCCTGGGGACACCTGCCTTCACAGAAACTCAAATGTGTGTAAACTTTGGGTTTTAATTGACCACACATTTATGTAAGTCCAGCAGGGTAATATGGTTGCCAAAAGAAAATGCACTCCTAGAGTGAATAGTATCAGAAGATTATCCTGATCATGGAGAAAATTGCCCCTTTATGCACTTACTAGACCATGTCCAGAACGGTACGTTCAGTCTTGGGGTCCACAAATCAAGAGGGTCGTTGACATCCATGGGCAAGTCCAAAGCAGGGAGTCTGAGTTAGTAAAGAGTCTAGAAGTCACATCAGGAACCTGGGAGTTTTAATCTGGAGAAAAGAAAGCAAGTAACCTGTGAAGTATTTGAAGGCTGTCAAGGGGAGGAGGGATTAGAATTATTTGATGTTACTCAAGCTCGCAGCATCTGTGGTTGTGACCTACGAGTGCGCCTGTTGGTAAAGGGAGACTTTCTAACTGGCCTTTAGGGCTGCTGGGAAGAGGAAGAGCCGCCTTCCTCACCTACCAGCTCCCTATGGCCAAAGGTGTCTGGACAGAGGTGCCAGGTCAGGCGGGCGCTGTCGGGAACGCTCTGCTGCTGTGTGTAGGCAGTCTGGGCACCAGGGTTCTTGCTTTCTGGCTCGGGGAAAGCAATCTTTCCTTCCTTTCCGGTGTATTCTCTTTGCTGGGAACAAGAGCAGGTGGGGAAAGTGATCTGTGGGATTTTTTTTGGCTGATTCAAGTAGATGAAACTTTTGGAGAAACATTCGTCTGTAGGACTGAATGTTAAAATGTGTCAACCTTGAGTTTTCAGCAAGATCCGGAGCCAGCGTCCCAAGAGCAGGGACTGCCCCTTGTTGAGAACGGTGTTTGTGGGCGAAGACCTCAAACTGTGCCTCCTCTTACCCATTTACCATTAGTGTCAGCTCCTTGCCCTCCCTCACCGTGGCTGATGAGAGCATAGTGACGCCTCAGTATGAACTGTACTTGTTTAAACCCTGCTTAGGGATCTCAGAATGATTCCTGTGCTAATCTTATTGTCCAACTTGAATGGGCACATGAATCAACTGGGGACGGCATTAACGTTTAGGTTCTGATTCAGCAGTTCAGAGGTGGGCAGGAGATTCTGCGTCTCTAGTAAGCGCCGGGTGATACTGATGCTGCTGGTTCAGGGTCCACCCTGCATTGCAGGAGTCAAAAGCAGCAGTCCGCCTAGCCCAGGTGGACTGAATCAGAATCACCTGCCCTGTGGTTGTCTAAAATGCAGACTCCTAGGCTGTACTTCTGTTCTCTGGGACCAGACATCTCTAGGGATGGAGCCCAAGAATCAGCTTTTCGAGCTGGTACTGCAGGTGATTCTTAGGTACATTAAAGGTTTTGAACCACTGGTCCTGGGGAGAATGGATAGGGTGGTTTAGACTCGGGGAGCGGGAGTGGACTTCCCTGGTGGCTCAGTGGTTGAGAGCTCACCTGCCAATGCAGGGGACACGGGTTCGAGCCCTGGTGTGGGAAGGTCCCACATGCCGCGGAGCAACTAAGCCCATGTGCCACAACTACTGAACCTGCGCTCTGGAGCCTGTGAGCCACAACTACTGAAGCCCGTGCGCCTAGAGCCTGTGCTCTGCAACAAGAGAGGCCCCCGCTCGCTGCAACTAGAGAAAGCCCGCATGCAGCAACGAAGACCCAACGCAGCCAAAAGTTAGATAAATAAATAAATAGATAGATTGGGGGAACACATCGTTCACAGGGACACAGTGAGTCGCATAGAAAGTCGGTTGTAGAAAGCTGGCCACTTCTGTAGAGCTTACGTGGAGACGACTGGCTGGGTGACCTGGGGCCTCTTCAGCTCTTCTGTAAAGTGCACATGCTATGGATTGATGACTGCTCTCCTGTCTCTGGGTCTTGTCTTTCCAGTCGTCCAGCATGCTCTGCCCAGCCCCCGCCGAGGCGCACTGACCATGAGCTTCAACTCCTCCCTCAGCCACAGGAAGGAGCTGAGTAACCTCACCGAGGAGGACGGTGGCCAAGGGGGCGTCGTCGTCACCGAGTTCGTCGCCATTGTCGTCATCACCATTTTCGTCTGCCTGGGCAACCTGGTAATCGTGGTCACCTTGTACAGGAAGTCCTACCTCCTCACCCTCAGCAACAAGTTCGTCTTCAGCCTGACCCTGTCCAACTTCCTGCTGTCCGTGCTGGTGCTGCCTTTCGTGGCGACCAGCTCCGTTCGGAGGGAATGGATCTTCGGTGTGGTCTGGTGCAACTTCTCGGCCCTCCTCTACCTGCTTATCAGCTCGGCCAGCATGCTCACCCTTGGGGTCATCGCCGTCGACCGGTAAGCTTGCATCACACTCAGAGAATCGAAGGGTTTAGGAGTGTGGGTGAAGGGGGAACCTGAGAGATCATGTGGGCTGTGCCCTCCAAGCTGCCTCAGTTCCTCGGGAGGGTGTCACGTCTGTGCTGGGGAGGGTGAGAAAGCAGAGTTCTGCCTCTTCTTGTATCCCCTCAACCAGAGCACCTCTGATTTTATCTGGTGCAGCTTGCATGTAGTTGGGGACTTCCCTGGTGGTCTAGTGGTTAAGACTCTGCGCTTCCAGCTGCAGGGGACGTGGGTTCGATCCCTGGTCAGGGAACTAAGATGCCACATTCTGTGCAGCGTGGCCAAAAAATGAGAAAAACAAATTAGAAAGAAAAGTTCTATTAACTTCTGCTTCTCAGTTGATAGTTGAGAAACAGAAGCTGAGGAAGGTGACGTGGCAGAGGAGGTATCAGATCCAGGTCTTCCCCAAAGTACTGCCTGCTCTCTGTTGCTTTGGGTTGGGCCAGAGCTGCACCGGGGCAGCCCAAAGAGGAAATACTCTCTACCCTCCACAGTGCAAGGGCCTGAACATCAGCTCAGTCCTGGATGGAAGGAGAGCAGGGGAAGGGAAGACAACACAGGGAGTAAAGATGGTGGCACCTGGGAGAGACAGTGTGTGCTTTAAGACATCTGGGCTGTCCCTTCTTGTGGCATAGCTGTCTCTAACAGCAAGGAATAGTACTGCTGACGCCCCTCAGCTCTATCTAGAAGGTTCTTCCAGATTCCTACGTTAGGCTGTCAGATTTAGATGTTAAAGTCCTGTAGGCTTTGACAGTGAGTTTCCGACCCCTGGAGTCTTCTTTATTAGGATTTTGCCGATGGTCACTTCATTCATCCCAGGCAAGGGTTCAACTGTACAAGGGCAGAGGGGGGAGATTCAGATTCTCTGTGATTTATAGAATTGGGGAGGGAGTCAGGGAAAACACAGAGGGGTTCCCCAGGGCTGTCGTCACTGGGTGACACGAGTCCCCTGGCTCCCTTGGGATCGTCCATTTTTGAGCTGATGAGTGGTGGCTGGATGGTCTACCCAAGGTGCAGGCCTCCACTAGGGCCGAGGCCAGAATCCTTTCAGGCCTCTGCACCTGAGGGAGGTTAGAGTGAAGGAAGCCATTGGTCAGAACTAATCAGGTGGCTTCTCCAAATATCTTCTTTCCCCCCAACAAAAGAAAATAATACCAAAAATAGAAAGAGTACAATAAGAAATATCCATAATCCCACCAGTCAGGAGCAATCACTGTTTACTTTTGTTTGTTTGTTTGTTTGTTTGCGGTACGCGGGCCTCTCACTGTTGTGGCCTCTCCCGCTGCGGGGCACAGGCTCCGGACGCGCAGGCTCAGTGGCCATGGCTCACGGGCCCAGCCGCTCCGCGGCACGTGGGATCCTCCCGGACCGGGGCACGAACCCATGTCCCCTGCGTCGGCAGGCGGACTCGCAACCACTGCGCCACCAGGGAAGCCCTACATTTTTTTAGTATACTTGCCTCCAGGGATTTTTGGCCGCATGCAGTAAATTTAGAAAATAGACTCAAGGCACATGTGGTTTTGGGACCTGCTTTTTCACTTAACAAGTGATTGTGAGCATTTTTCCCACCTGCAGATATCCCTGGAGAACACGATTTTGAATGGTTACGTGGTATTCCGTCCTCTGGATGGACTGTAGTTTATTTTTACAGTCCCCTGTTAGCTTACTATTTTATATAGCACTTTGATGAAGATGTATGTTTGTGGAATTGTGTTTTCAGTCACAGTAAACACGCTTTGAAGATTCTTGATGTGTAAAAGGCAGGCTCCCCTTCAGAAGCTTGTACAGGTTATTACTTCAGCAGCCGTTCATCGGCATCCTATCAAGACTGATAATAAGCACTGCAGACATAACTGGAAGTCTGTTGGCAGTAGGATGGGATGGGGAATCATTACTTTTGGGATATCCCGTCCTGGGTCCTGTGGAAGGTGGAGTGGGGGCCAACAGCTCAGGAGCAGAGCAGGGAAGTCGGTTTTTAGATGCCTCTCGCAGAACTGTGTATACGTGGATGCTCAGTAAGTGGAGGCAGCTCTCGGAGGCCGTATACTGCTTACTTGGATCTGAGGTCTAGGTAAGCGAGAGTGCGATTTCCACCAGCAAGCATGACCGATTCTCAAATCATGCCATCAAAATGCATCAAACGAGAGAGCATTTGCCTCTTTCGACGCCTTGCTCTTTCACGCTGGGAATATTTGCTGGGTGTCTACTCTGTGAAAGGCCCTGTGCTAAATCCTCGGATGGTAGGATACAGCATGAGCAGGACGCAGCCCTTGACCACCAGGAGTTCACAGCTTCATGGCAGAGGCTGACCCGTGGGTCCTGATGTGAACACAAAGCAGAATTAAGCGCTCTGACAGCTCCCGTGGCTGCTTCTGATGGCAGGGCCTGCAACGCTCTGGGGAAAAGGTGGCATTTGAGCTAAGTCCTAACAGTGAATAGGATTGTAGGGGCCCTTCCGAATGAAGAAGCCGCCTTTGATAAACAGTTATGGAGGACCTAACGTATGCCTGGCCAGGTGATTGGTGCTGGGAACGTGCAGCTGAAGGAGATGAACAGACACGCTGAGGAATTCGCAGTGTTGGTGGGATAGACATGTGGCCAGGTAATTTTAGGACCATGTGGTGTGTACGCAGAGCCAGTGTGTTCAAGGTGCTGTGAGAACGCAGAGGAGGGAGCAAGGCCGGAAGTGGTGAAAAAGCATGGCGTGTGGGACACAGCTGGAGACCAGGGGAAACAGCTGGTCATGGAAGAGGTGACGCACGTGAACAAATGGGGGTCACCGGTCATCTCACCAGAGATTTAATCCAGGCACCCCAGACCCCACAGCCTGCGCCAGGGTCACCCAGTGACAGAGCTGTGAGTCGAGAAAGGGCTTCTGCCTCTCCCAGTGATGACAAGTCACCAAGGCCTGGTTGTCTCTGGAAAATAGATCATTTCCTCCTGCGAGTGTAGCAAGATGGATTTGGCCATCACAGTGCTTTGCCCAGATCTTTGACTATAAGATATAGACTGCTGTAAAATTTGGTGTCTTCAAATATTTTCATGGCAGGTGCGATTAATTTTTTTATTATTGGTCATTCGTGTGGCTAAAAATACAAATTGACTGGACCAGCGAATTGATCATGTTCATATAAATGATCACAATCTGACCAGGAATTCAAACACCCCTTCCCCTGTCCCCATGAATTTTAGGGAATTAAATTTACTTGATATTAGTGATTTTGAAGGTTATGTATTTGCCTTCTATGTTGGAAACCTAAAGATGCAGCTGTGTGTGTGTGTGTGTGTGTGTGTGTGTGTGAGAGAGAGAGAGAGAGAGAGAGAGAGAATGAGAAAGAGAGGGAGAAGCAGAGACAGAGAGAGGTGGAGGGGATGGGTAGGAAGGAAGGGAGAGTGAGAGGGAGGGAAACAGGCGAGAGGAGGCAGTAGTAAAAGATAAGTGAGGAGAGAGGAGAGAAGAATAAGAGAAAGGGGGTGGAAGAAAGAGATGGGAACATCGGTAAGAAAGTGGAAGAAAACAAGGGCGGGGGGCATGATCTCTACTAGAATGTGTTACGTGCTAGTCACCTGCCGGGGGCCGCACTATGCCATTAACAAATGTAGATCCCAGCTAATCCTCACAACGACCCTATCAGTCCTCATTTTGCAGAAGAGCCTAGCGAGGTTTTGCAAACTCGCCCAAGTCCACATGGCTGGTAAGTAACTCGGCCAGTTTCTGAGATGCTAAAGGCTTTGGTTTTAGGGTTCTTTTGGCTAAATGTACATACATGGCAATGCTCAAATCTACACCTTTATCAAGATATAAACATGCCAACATCTGTCCACAAAAGGAATTTTTTTAATGGGTTTCATAGATTTGAAACTTCATTTTTTAAACTTAAGCCTCATTTAGGCCTAGTTGCAGGTTCAAAGGAAAATATAGAACAAAAGCAACTCCCTATTCCCTGCAGGTTAATACAGGCCAAAACGGAGGGGTTTTCCTTTGTTTTCCATACTCTTAGCTGTCTTCTGAAGCTCTCCATCTTTTCTCCAACAACTCATTTTTAGACACGAGCCCAAGCACCACCCTTGGTCCCCAAAGAGCCTTTTGTGATGTCACGTGTAACTTCAAAGTGGTAATGCCCGTAGGGGCTCCAATGCTTAGCTCTCCTGCCACGAGATCACCCACTTAGATAACGACCCCTGTTTTTACTTTTTTTTTTTTTTTTTGCGGTACGCGGGCCTCTCACTGTTGTGGCCTCTCCCGCTGCGGAGCACAGGCTCTGGACGCACAGGCTCAGCGGCCATGGCTCACGGGCCCAGCCGCTCCACGGAATGTGGGATCTTCCCGGACCGGGGCACGAACCCATGTCCCCTGCATCGGCAGGCGGACTCTCAACCACTGCGCCACCAGGGAAGCCCCGTCGTAATGATTTTGATGACTGGTTGAACGTGGCTGGTCAGAGGAGACGGGGACAAGCTCATGTTCCCCACGCCTGGCCTCCCACACCTACCTGTACACTCACCCCTGAAGTGTTGCCTGAGGTCAGAGGGCCTGCACGAGTTTTAAATGGGCAGAGGAAAGTAGGAATATCCGCCTTGTTTCTTTTTAAAAGTGGAGAAAACCTTCCTGGAAGTGCCCCCAATCCCACCCCAGCAAACTCCCCTCACATTTCATTTGCTAGATGATGTCACACAGGTCAGTGCCTCAGCTGGTCACCTGGCAAGGGAGGGGATACCACCAGCATGGCCTGATTCATCCCCTGGTGCTTAGAAGGGCCCAGCGTCCCCTGTGGTCACAGCAGTTTTGCAGGAGCAAGTTAGGGATTCTGTCTTCAGGAAGGAAGGGGGAAAGGTCAGTGCACAATGTCCCAGCTCTGTCCCCGCTGCCACCTAAAGGGAGGCCCCATCCAGCCCTTTCCCCCCACTCGAGCCCATTCTGTCCTTGGAGCAGATCTATGCCAGACGTTCTGTGATTCCCATCTTCCTGGTGAAGGAACTGAAGCTCTGAGAGCTTAGCTCAGCTACCCAAGGTCACACAGCTAGTGGATAGCAGAGTCGCCATCTGAACCCAGGGATCGCCAACTCCAAAGGCATGCTTCTTTCACGGGGCTGCACGGCCTTTGCAAGATGCGAACCCAGATGTCAGCAGAAGACAGGAATTGCTTTACCCCAGGCTCTGTGCAGGGGTTCTGTAATCCATACCATAATCACGGTGGTTTCCTCTCATCACGCTCCACGCTCAGAAACACTCTTTCCAGGCTAGACCTTGGTGGGGCCTCGAGGCTTGAGACCAGCAGTCCCTGTCTTGCCTCTGATTTGGAAGGCCTTTCATACAGGGACCCCTCCATGAGAGCCTGCCCCAGGCAGCAGGTGGTAATTCAGGCCATGGCCCCTGTCCCTGAGCTCTAGTGCCCAGGGGTGACTCAGGAAGGTCCTGGTGGAGCAGGTGGTTCACAGGTGGTGTGTGAGGCTCATAGCCATAGTCATCTCCTAAGGTCCTGCCTGTAGCAGGCAGCCTCAGTGTGGTCACCCCTGTCCCGCCGCACGTTGCCCTCCTGCAGAAGCTCCACCATTAAAGAACATTTCCTTTGGATAAAATGTCCGGGTGGGGAGGCTGGTGGTTTACTTTCAACCCCATGGTCTAAATCCTCCCACCCACTCCAGTTAAAGGGTCAGAGCTCAGCTGGCTGGCAAGGCTCTGCACGCCCCGGCCCCCCTGGCTCCTTTTCTCCCCGCGCACCATCACCCCGTGCCGGCCTGGTTGAGCTACAGGCAGCTTCCTCATTGAGCCGGTGCTCAGGTACATCTCCGCGTCTCGCCAAGGCTGGCGTTCTGCCTCAGCTGTTCCTGGGCCAGTGCCTCTGTTCTTTCAAGACCTGAGTTTGTGTGCCATCTGGTCCAGGAAGTCCGCCCTGACCCTGCAGTCTGGATCCGAGGCCCCATCAATATGAATCAGTAGTTCTCCAGGCCTCTCTCCTTCTTCACAGAGCTGAGGGGTTAGGAACCACCCCTGGTCTGTGGACTCCGGAACAAGACGGTTTGCAGGGAATTGCTGGCATGTGCGCTGGGGACTGTAGAGTCAGGTTGCCCCGGGTTTTATCTTGTTTCTTCCCCTTCCTTATCTAGAGCAGATTATTTATCCTTTCTCTGCTGTTAAGATGAGGATAATGACAATGCCAGTCACTCTAAAGACTTCTTGTGAGGATTAAATATCCCCTTTCTGCTCCAGAGCCTCGTACCCTGCTTATGTGTCTGTCTCCCCCTGCACCTTTTTTACCTGTATTCCTGGTGCATAGCACGGTGCTTGGCATGTGGCAGGCCTTCAGTAAACGTTCACTGAATGAATGTACCCCATTATCCTTAGATGTTCTTCTGGTTTCTGAGGACCCTCTGAAAACAGCTCTAAAAGGATTACTGTCAGAAACACAGAAGTGATCTGGTTTGATGCACGATCCCTTAGAACTCCTGGAGATGCCTGAAGACTAGTCACACCCCGAAACGTGAGCGGGCTCTGGAAACAGGGCCGCCTGAGCTCTGTGTTCTTCCTGGTGTCCAGCCGTTCTCCGATGAAGAGTTCCACGGAGCTGTGTCACATGGCCAGTCTGTGACTTGTCCAGGGAGGGTTGAGAGAAGGTGCTACTTTTAGAAGCATTCACCCCATGGCAGTGTTGAATGAGAGAAATCCAACAGAGCTCACCACTTAGGAGAGCAGTGGGTGCCCCTTCTGGTGTGTCTTCTCTATTTTACTCGTCTCCCTCACCTGCCTCCGTTCTTTTTCTAGCTACTATGCTGTCCTGTACCCCATGGTGTACCCCATGAAGATCACAGGCAATCGAGCCGTGGTGGCGCTTGCCTACATCTGGCTTCACTCCCTCATTGGCTGCCTGCCACCTCTGTTTGGTTGGTCATCGGTGGAGTTTGACGAGTTCAAGTGGATGTGTGTGGCCGCGTGGCACCGGGAGCCTGGCTATACCGCCTTCTGGCAGATCTGGTGTGCCCTGTTCCCCTTCCTGGTCATGCTGGTGTGCTATGGCTTCATCTTCCGCGTGGCCAGGGTCAAGGCACGCAAGGTGCACTGTGGCACCGTGGTCCTTGTGGAGGAGGACGCGCACAGGAACGGGAGGAAGAACTCCAGCACCTCCACCTCTTCCTCGGGCAGTAGGAAGAACGCCTTTCAGGGCGTGGTCTATTCGGCCAACCAGTGCAAAGCGCTCATCACCATCCTGGTGGTCATTGGTGCCTTCCTGGTCACTTGGGGCCCCTACATGGTCGTCATCACCTCTGAGGCCCTCTGGGGGAAGAACTATGTCTCCCCAACCCTGGAGACCTGGGCCACTTGGCTGTCCTTTACCAGTGCCATCTGCCACCCGCTGATCTATGGACTCTGGAACAAGACGGTTCGCAAGGAACTACTGGGCATGTGCTTTGGGGATCGGTATTACCGGGAACCGTTTGTGCAGCGGCAGAGGACTTCCAGGCTCTTCAGCATTTCCAACAGGATCACAGGTAACTTGGGAACTTGTCAGGGAAGGGATGCCCACCCTCAGGCGGGTGTAGCCTGTGGTCCTGCAGGCGCTCGGGCAGGTTGATGGGCGAGGTCTCAGACTCACTGCTGCTTCAGGGCTTAAAACACAGGTTTCCTTTGGGGAAGGAATATCCCAGAGTGTCCACTGTGATTCCCAAGCAGATTTCCTGAGCTCAGCAGTTCAAGGCAGGGTACACCAGAGTTCAGAAATCCGTGTTCTGTGACCACAGCCATGGCCCGCTGGCCTGGAGAGTAGATCTAGATAGATCTATCTAGAGAAAAAAGAACCCAAGCATTGGACCAGGCTGCCTTCACCTTTCAGTGTTCCTTGAAGGCAGGGTCCTCTTTAAAGCACTTCCTGCCCTCCTCAGCTACTCCTCCTGGACATACTCCGTCTTGGGCCTTTCCTCACGGGTCGGTGGTTTCCTCGTATTGTCGCTAATAATTCAGGACGTGTCGATGGCGTACCTCCACTCTCTCATTGAAATGTCACTATCTGGTGTGTGTACAGCTGCTCCTCCATTTGGTAATTTATTTCGGAGCTCACAGTTTCTGGACATGATCCCATCCCCTTTGATGAGACCCAGAGGAATTACTCTAGTGGGGGATAGATTTTTTTTTTTTAAACCTTTTTCTTTTGAGATAATTTTGGACTCAGTGAAGAGCTGGGAAAACAGCACAGAGAATACCCATCCACCCAGCTTCTCCTAGTGCTAACATCTTGCCTAACCGTAGCACAGCTATCAAACCTAAGACATCGCCAGGGGTGCAGCGCTATTAACAGCTACAGACTTGACTCAGATTTCACCCATTTTCCCATTGATGTCCTTTTTCTGTTCCAGGATCCAGTCCGGGATCCCACGTTGTATTCAGTTGTCACATCTCCTTTGTCTTCTTCAGTCTTTGACAAAGTCTTTTTTTTTTTTTTTTTCCTTGTCTTCCATGACTTGACACTTTTTGTAGAGTCCTGATCGGGGATTTTATAGAAGGCCCCTCAATTTGCATGTAGCACATGTGTTCTCAGGGTCACAATGAGGTAATACCTTTTTGGCAGGCAAGGCTGGGCAGGTGATGTGCTCTTCCTAATGAGCGTGCCAGGGGTACAGGTCTTCTTACTAGCTAGTTCTTACCCTCATCTCTCGGTTGATGTCTTAGCTTGGGCTGCTACAACAAACTACCGTAGACTGCATGGCTTAAACAACAGACATTCATTTTTTCACAGTTCAGGAGGCTGGAAGTCTGAGGTCAGGGTGGCAACATGGTTGGGTTCCGGTGAGGACCCTCTCGCAGGCTGTCCTTTTGCTGTGTCCTCCCATGGCGGAGGGCTGGGGAGAGGGACAGGAGAGAGCAAGCTCTCCGGTCTCTTCTTATAAGCACCCCACCCTCATGACCTCTTCTAAACCTCAGTACCTTCCCAAGGACCCATCACACTGGGGGTTAGGGCTTCGGTGTATGAATTTGGTGGCAAGTACTTTCAGTCCCTACAGTTAAGGTGGCGTCTGCCAAGTTCCCCCACTGTAAATTCACTGTTTTTTCCATTGTCATTAATAAGTACAACACAGCAGGTATTTTGAGGCTCCCACTGTTTGTAGCATGCACTCGTGGATCTTGCCCCTGCAGTTATGACTGTGTTGTTTGAGGGAGACTGTCATCTGGACAGGCTGTTGGAAAAGAGACTCTGAGGGCACTGATCAGACCATATTCAAGGAAAGCTCCAGTTCAGACTGCAGTTCTAGTCTCTTGCCAGATGACTTTGGGCAACTCATGCTGCTCGAGATAATCTTTCCTCCTCAGGAAATAGGTCTTCCACCTACCCTCTCAAGAGAGTGGAAAGAAATAACAACTCTTAATTATCATGAATATTCAGTGATAGTGATGATAGGAGTCTTTTCCATGTGGCAATTAAACAAACCAATGTCACTGATTTATCTCAGGGACTGATGGAGTGTTCCTTCTTGAGAAAGGAAGGAATTCTGGGACTTTTAATTTTGACTATAGGAGAAAAAAATCTCTCAGGACCCCAGTATTTTAATTCCTGAAATGCCCACCCCCTGCCACTGGCAAGACCATGATTCCAAGTGTGACTTGTGAGCCAGGAGGAGTACATTCAGGGTTTGGTTTCATTTCACTGATGAACTTATTTGTTCAGATTTTGTAAAATCACTTACCTTCTAGGCAAAAAAATAAAAATAAAAAAAGCATTCAATGTTTTCGATTCCAATGAAGTTAAGAATGAGGAAGGGAAAAAAATGAGGAAGGAGAATGGAGGAGGAGAGGGTAGATAGAACAGAAAGAAACATCTGCTTTGGGGGCCAGATTTTCCATGCAAGCCACTTGAGATTATCCTGGAAGAGTGTGTGAGGCCGTGAGAACAGGCGGAAAACACCCGCTGTGGTTGGGTTGGCAAGTCCAAGGCGGTGAGCAGTCTCCTCACTGAGGGAAAAGCAGTCTTGTGGGATGTGTTTGGGCTGAAGAGCATGTGGGATGATGGGTTCTGAGTTGCTGGCCTTCCCCTTGAATGGGAGCTGGGGGCATCCCTGCTGTCTCTTCCCGGGACATCCTGACATCAGGAGGTGGGCAACAGCGTCAGCAGGAGTCTTGGAAAAAGAGCAGAATGCAGTGCCCACCCCAGCTCCGCGCTCTGCTCCAGCCATGCCAGGAATGCCCACAGCCTTTCTGGTCAGGAGGGAGAACTCTGCCTTCCACCTGGCATCCCTGGTAAGAAGGATGGTAAGATTTGTTCCAAAGCCAGCAAGAAAAGGCTCGGAGGCCCTGTCTCGGTTTTGTTCCTCTCCGTTTGCATAGGCATCTGCAAAGTTTTCACCAAAGGATTCAGTACATGGAATTATAAACTTTCCTAACCGTGCTTGTGAGCACAGGTGCGGTGAAGTGGCATTCCACAAACACCTGGCGCTTTCCTACTGACTCTGGGAGGCCAGGAGTTTTACACATGCAGTCATGTTTATTTCATACATAGATTTCAGCCATAATCCATGGGTTTTGGTTTTCTCATTCTATTAGCCCCAAACTGAAGAAGTGCATCAGCTTAGGTTTTCCCTGGGTGCCAGCTGTCACCGGGCCACCACAATACGTTCTGCTTGTGAGGTCTCATTAGCAGATTCCCATGGGGCTCCCCTAGGAATTGAGATCTCTGGCCTCCCTGGGGTTTGACGGGCAGGGCCACTTCATGGTGGGTAGGTCAGCCCTGGAGTGGACATTGATTCCAGTGCTGAAAGGTGAGCTAAATGCTTACGTTTGGTCTTGGGAGGCCAGACTACAACTCCAAAGCTGACAGGTGGCTACAGGTGATCGGAGCAAAGAAGGGGCCTTCAGGAGAAAGGGCCACAGGCTTCTTCAACAGCTCTGCCACTCGCCAACCCAGTTGGGGTGGACAGCCCAGACATCAGCCCAACCCAGGCTTCGAGGGAGGCCTGGGCATGGTGGGAGGCCAGCCTCTCCAAATGCTGCACTCGTGTGATGCTCGAAGCTCCTGGAACCGGGAATAGAGCCTTCCCAGCTGTCTTCTGCAGGGAAGGACGCTGACTCCCATTTGCTCAGAGGAAATGCCCCACCTCAGGGCCCTTGTGAGGTCTGGGCTGGAGGGAAGGAAGGAGACCCTGGGGCCTTTGAATTTTCCTTCCTTGCTTTTACCAAGTTCCCTTCCTGGCACCACCTAGAGGTCTTCTGGTTACTTCAAAGTGCCAATGTCACCCCAGAATTGCACTCTGTTCTTTTAGCCTCTCAAAGGCACTCATGACTCTTCTGGCCACTCCAGGCTTCTGATCTGATCCCTGTGCCTGTCGTTTGGTGCCTTTTTCTTGCTTTCTTTTTAAAAAAAAATTTTGTGAAAGGGGTTGGATCGGGCCCAGCCCAGTAGACGTGTTGTTGTTTCATGTGAAAAAACTCAGGGTAACTGAGTCTACTCTCCAGTGGTAAAATGCTGGATAAACGCAGAATAGAGAGTTGCCGCCCGGCTGCCCTGTTTCCACATCTCTTAGCCGAGCCGCATTGGTCTGGCTCCAGTGATTTCTTCCGCTGGTAGAGACCAGGACTTGTGCCTGGCTTTCACTGCAGCCTCAGAGATGGTGTCCAGAACCCACTGTGGCCTCAGCCGTCCCGGTTGGCAGTGGATGTTCCCCCGGCGGCCCACCCCTCCGCAAGCCGGGCTTCCAGCTGAGACATAGTCATATTCTGAGGCCAAGACCCTGGAGGTGGCTGATCATGTTTGGGCTCTTCTCTGGCCCCAGACCTCCACACCAACCCTCAGGAGAGGGGAAGGCTCCTTGCAAAAGTGCTTTCCCCACAGGCCATGACAGGGAGCTTCTGAGAGCAACGTGCTCTGACTGCACGGGTTCAGCCCCCATCATTTCCTCCGTGGCTCTGAAGGAGAAAGGAGGGCATGTGTGTCATGTCGCTTTGTCCCCTCAGAAGAATTAGGATGAAGGTACAGGGTGGAGGTGTCTCCTGTCTGTAGGTTTGCTGGGGGGGAACGCTGGTGGTCCTTCGTGGCAGGTAGGTAGGTCTTCCTCGTGAGATCGGAGGAGTTTGACTTTTCTGTGCTTTTTTTAAATTGCTAAGAGTGCCTTTTTTTGTTAACTCCATGGACTTTATGGCCTCCAGCTCTTTTGTTCATGGAGTCATTATTTTCTCAGTTTTCTAAGGACACCCAATTAGAATTCTGTTTTGTTTTCTGAAGCTCCCTGCATTGTCTCCTGAGACATCCTTTTTTCTCCTTTCTCTCCTTCCTCCCTTACTTTTTTATTCCCCCATCTCTGCTAGTGCCTTTCCTTAAGTATCTGGTGATCTCCACTGTCTCTCACGGTTAGTAAGTCAGCCCAGGAAAGCCGGCGGGAAGCCCTGGGCGATGGTGGGACTGGGCCGTCTCACAGGGTGCCCAGATCTTGGGGTTTGTGGGGCTTTTCCTCTGGCTGGCTGGATTACCCTGGAGACGGGGTCTCTGGTCTCCTGCCCAGGTTAGGTGAGGCAGTAGGGTGGGGCTCCCACTGGTAACTATGTAGCCTCTCATTGTTCCCTCGGTTTTTGCCACGTTGCCATGTGCCTGGTGTCGCTAAGGCCAGAGTCCCCCAGTTCACTCTGCCCACTCTCCTGCCAACATGGGGAACGGGAGCCTGGACCCTGAACTGGGAACAGCAGTGGAGGCGACCCACTGCTTCCTGTAGAGACTTTCCATCAAGCCCCACCTGCCTGCAGAGACTCTGGGCCTCCAGTTCCTGAGCTTCTGGGGGCCTCCTTCCAGGCCTCCCCCTCTGCCAGCCTCAGCTCTTTCCTGGGCTAGTTCCACTGCCCACTTCCCACCTTCCAACTTACAAACATCCTCTTCATTTGGGGGTTTCGGCCTCTTCAAAAAACATCCCTTTTGGTATTCAGGTAGGATCTCAGGAGTTAAACACGCACCCGTGTTTAACTGGAAGATCTTCTCCCAGGACTGTTCACCTCGTTTCCTCTCCCACCTGCCTTGTTGGTGTTTGACGTTTGTCACGAGCGCTTCCCCTCTGGGGGGACCCAGTGAATCCTGTCACAGACTCCCCGGGATAGGAACAAGGGGCGAAGTGAAGGAAGGGCAGCTAAGAGCTTCGTGTCCTCAGTGCGTGGAGAGCACGCTTTGCGAGGAGGACAGAGCGGACGGGAGCGGAGGCGAGGCCTCTGGGGACTGGGTGGGCCGTGGATTGTGCAGTCAGTGCCGACCTTGCCTTGCAGACCTGGGCCTGTCCCCACACCTCACGGCACTCATGGCAGGCGGGCAGCCCCTGGGTAACAGCAGCAGCACGGGGGACACCGGCTTCAGCTGCTCTCAGGACTCAGGTAAGCCCCTCACCTGTCGCACTTCCCCAGTGCCTGCCGGGTGGGAGCTGGTGGGGAGAGGGATGTCTCCCAGGGTGTGGAGGGGCGAGAGGCAAGGGTCTGGGTGTCCAGTCATGGCTCTTCAGCATCTCTGTGCCCCAGTTTCCTCCTCTCTATAGTGGGGATCTCAGCTCCTGTTCTCTCTGCCATGCAGGGTTGTTGTGAGATTCAAATTAAGTGAAAGCCTTTGAAAAGTTAAAATGCTAAGTGATTGTCAGTTGTTACTCGAATTATAATAACCATCGTCCAGTGCAGGCTCCGGAGTCAACCTGCTTGGTTTTCAGTCTCGAATTGACTTTTTTTTTTTTTTTTTTCGCGGGCCTCTCACTCTTGTGGCCTCTCCCATTGCGGAGCACAGGCTCCGGACGCGCAGGCTCAGCGGCCATGGCTCACGGGCCCAGCCGCTCCGCGGCATGTGGGATCTTCCCGGACCGGGGCACGAACCCGTGTCCCCTGCATCGGCAGGTGGACTCTCAACCACTGCGCCACCAGGGAAGCCCTCGAATTGACTTTTAAGAGCTGTGTTATCTCAGACAAGCTGCTCAGTCTGTTTCTAAACCTTCGCGTTTCTCCATTTGTGAACTGGGGCAGCCGTCCCTCTATCAAGGGCAGCTCCAACCAGGTTGGATACCTTGTCACCATCATTAGATGCCCTGCGACATGCCTATGGGGAACTCGGTCTCCCCAAAGAAACACATCTCCAGCAGCATTCTCCAGACCCTCCCTGTAGCTGCGGCCCAGGGGATGGTGCCGGCCCAGGACTCCTCCCCCCAGTGGCAGGCTCTGTGATGTCACAGTCTGCTGCCGACCGCTCTGGGGACCCAAGTGCCACACCCCGTGCTTGCCAGTTCATGACTGGATGAGAGGCTTGTGGGCAGAGGCCGTCGGTGTCCCTACGTCAGTCATTCATGGAGCTGACGAAGCACCCCGTCCCGGGGCTGCCGTCTGGCCGTGTTCTGGGCGTGAAGGGAGGGTGCTAAATCCTGGCCCTCGACAGCAGGCTGTCTGTGGGCATTTCCCTCCCTGCTCTTGCATCTCTCCTGCCGGGACCTTTGGAAAACTCCTCTCTGCCTTGACCTGTGTTTCTTGGCCTGAGCCTGTGTCACGGAATTCCGGGGGGACCGGCCGTGGGCAGGGACCCAGCCCAGGCCTCCTGTCGTGGAGCATTTCCCCGCAGGCAGAACGTTCCCTGAGGATGTTCTCCCACTGGCAGCCCGGAGGCTTGAACCACTGGTAACACCCGCCCTTGTAGGCCCGAGTCCCTGCTGCGACTTGAAGGACGGGAGGGTCTCTGTCTCTCCTCGGGCTCCCTCCCTCTTCTCAGACAACCAGCAGGAATCCAGAGGCAGAGTGACATTGATTCATTTAACAGATATTTACTTGCCAGGCCCTTGCTTTGAGCAGACACTGCACTAGGTTCCGGAGATGTAGTGGTAAACTGCCCTCATGGGGCTTTCCGTCTAGTGGGAAAGACGGCCATCCCATGTGCTTTAAATGGGTGAATTGTGTGGGATGCAAATTATACCTCAATAATTCTGCTTTTAGTAAGGGTTATAAGGGTGATGAGAGCTATGAAAGGGGAAGCTGAGTGCCGTGAGGACACGTAACGGAGTTGTATGTGCCCCCTGTTGGGGAGAACTTGTCGGGGGGGAGGGTGGTGTTAGAAAAGCTTCTCTGAGGAAGTGATGTTAAAACCTGAAGAGTGAATAGGAGGTGACCAGGCAAAAAGGAGTAAGGGGACAGTGTCGTAAGCCAGTGGTCCCCAACCTTTTGGGCACCAGCGACCGGTTTCGTGGAAGACAATTTTTCCACGGACCAGGGAGGGCGTGGTTCAGGCAGTGATGCCAGCGATGGGGGAGCCGCAGGTGAAGCTTCGCTCGCGTGCCCACCATTCTGGCTGCTGTGCGGCCCGGTTCCTAACAGGCCGCAGCCCGGTACCGATCCGCGGCCTGGGGCTTGGGGACCCTTGTTGCAGGCAGAAGAAAGAGCATGGGCTTTGGGGGTCACACAGACCGGAGTGTGAGCTTCAGCCCCGCTGTTTATTAGCCGTGTCCTCACGAGTGATGACTTTCATTGATGAGGCACCTGTTGTGCGCCAGGCAACGTGTCACATCGTCACACGTCTCAACTCAAAATCCTCCCAGCAACTCTATGAGGTAGAGAGAATTACGATCCCCATTTTGTAGGCATGGAAGGATGCTGAGGGACTAAATATCCTGCCTGTGATCCTAGATCTGTCCGATTTGGGAAGCTGTGTGCTGAACCACCATGTTGTGAAGTCCGCTAGAGGAACACGCCTTTTCAGGTTGCTCTGCAAAAACACACGAGGGGGGCTTCCCTGGTGGCGCAGTGGTTGAGAGTCTGCCTGCCGATGCAGGGGACACGGGTTCGTGCCCCAGTCCGGGAAGATCCCACATGCCGCGGAGCGGCTGGGCCCGTGAGCCATGGCTGCTGAGCCGGCGCGTCCGGAGCCTGTGCTCCGCAACGGGAGAGGCCACAACAGTGAGAGGCCCGCGTACCACAAAAAAACATATGAGGAGCTCCCAGCTCCCCTTTCTTCCTAATTTCCTGAGCACCAAGGCCTTGAAGGACTGATAGCTGGAGACTAAGACAGAACAAGACTGGTCCCCCCGCCCCGCCCCTGCCTGCCCGCCTGCCCAGCTCTCTCTCATAGGACTTCCTTCCTTTCTGCCTTTTCCCCACTTTTTGGGGGGCATATTTCTCAATCCCTTTTTGGCTCCCAAAGAACTTTACATGTTCAGGTTTGAAATGTTTATTTAGCACAGCATACTTTAACTAGAATGATAGAAATTCAAACTGTAAGAAGAATCACTGTGAACACAAAGCCCCTTTAATAGGGCCCCCTCCTCCACTCAGCCGGACTGCCCTTCCCCATTCCAGGTCTGGCAGACTCATCACTTGTGAGTCTGCTCGCTGTGGCGGGTAACCCGTCCGCCTGGATAACGCTGCTGTATTTTTGGTGTGTCTGAAGCAGCCCCAGTGGCTGGCTGCAAACTCCCTGAAATGGGATGAGAGACAGTGTGTGTCCTGGGCAAATGCTGCAGGGCACTTGGTTGCACCTGATTGTGGGTTTGAATAAATGAAAGGGGAGAGAGGGACGCAAGGGGTGTGAGCGAGGGTGAGAAAGGTGGCGAGAAGGACTTGGTGTTGCCTGTTGTAGGCGCACAGTCTGCCCTTGGTTTTAGGAACGGATGTCATGCTGCTCGAAGACTTCACGTCTGATGACAACCCTCCCTCCCACACTTGCCCACCCAAGAGGAGGAGCTCAGTGACATTCGAAGATGAAGTGGAACAAATCAAAGGTGGGTTTCTGTGACTGATGGCTTCAGGGAAACAGGGGAAAGGAAAGGATCTTAGGAAAGCTCCTTGGCCCAGCCTGCTCCCATCCCCAGCACACCGGGGCTCCCGCCTTTGCCCAGCCCCATGTCACTCCCGACCTGCCAGTCTCACTTAAGTCCTTAGGCTTCCAACTCTCGGAGCAAGCAGCATCTAAGGCTGGGCAAGCAGTGGCCTACGTACACAGACAGACAGACACACACGCACACACAATTCCCATCTCCTCCCTCAGGAAGTTGCCCGACTGGATACAACAGTTTCTGAGCCCTCCGCGGTTTCTTTCCTTTATGGATGATGTGTGGTTATGAGTCTGAACCTGCCCTCTTTGAGCCTCGGCTTCCTCCCGTGGAAAATGGAAGTCATTGCCCAGTGAGTGCGCCGACTTCACCGGAGGCAAAGGCCGCCGTCTCGATTGGCCTGTTGCCTCTGAAGCTGATGGGGGCGCTGGGATTCTGTGAGAGGAATGAGTTCTGCTATAATCCAGTCCCTACGTTTTTCTGCTCTGGTTGCTCTGAATTCAACCCTCAGCACTGTCGGTGCCTCTGGAACTTGGGGTCTAGCTTCCCATCCAGATATGCTGACTAGAAGAGTGACAAAGGAGCCGTCCAGGCTGCCCACAGGTGGAAGAATCTCTTTTTTTCTGAATCCCACCCGGTGGTGAGGACACCCACCTACATGGCCGGATGTGGATGTGGTGGGAGAGTCCAGGGACTTTAAGGTATAAATTCTTCAGAAATGCTGAGTACCAAAATAAATATGGGCCGGGGCAGAGTTTTAGGTTCATAATTTGTCCTATCTCTTCTACCACCCCCTCCCTGATTCCAGATGAATGGAGGGGTGGTCATGGGGGGTCAAGGAGGCAGATATCAACTCGTCTGCTTTACGGGCAGAGTGGATTCAAGAACAGAGCTTGGATTAGTAGCTTCATGGGCTTTATAATATGTTACTCCCGTGTTAAAAAAAATGGATTGAAGCCCTCCGCAATCCACCCAGCCCGCATAGGGCCAAGCCTGCCCCATCCAGCCTACATGTTGGGGGATGGCAGTTCCAAAGGCACCTCCTCTGCACGCAGGGCAGGGAGCAGGCACGTGTGTAAGACCATGTCAGTCCTCCCGGGAGTGAGTGGCAGGGCAGAGGTCCTCCCCTCTTTCCCTCCTGGAGAATGGGGTGGAAGTTGCCTACTCTAGACAACGGGAGGTGTAGGGGATACGCCGTTCCTCCCAAAATGTCAGGAGAGAAACAGGCAGTGAGGTTAATAGTCATAAGGCCATGGATGTGAAATTGAAGGGCCCCCTCCCTCTGTCCCTCCCTCTCTTCCTCCCTCCCTCCCTCCCTCCCTCCCTCTCTCCCTCCCTCCTTTCTTCCCTCCCTCCCTCCTGTGCACTTTAGGTGTCAGGAGTCCTAATCCTGGGGGAAGGGGCACCCGAACCTTTAATGTCCTTCCAGTCCTGAGGTTCTCCATGGCTTTGGGGAATCTCTGAGCGAGGGTGGAGAGGACAGAGACCACATTCAGGTTTGTGGAAGTTTAGAGCCAAAGCTATTATACACTCCAGGGAGCTGAAAGACCAGAGAACTCTTTCAAAGATGTAAAAATTTGAATGTCATTAATAGAAAGTATTTATCAAGCCTTTTTCTATGAGCCAGACCTAGGCTAAAGCACCTTAGGAAGAGCTGTCTAATTATCACGAGAACCCCATGATGTAAGGGGTGTGCCAGGATCTTCTCTTTACAGATGAGGTAACCGACATGAGATTAAATACGTCTAAGATTTCCCAGATAGTAAGTAGGGGAGTCAAGGATTGTCACCTTACGGACTGTGACTCCAGAACCCACACCCTTAACCTCAGTTTGCTTCCGCTCCCAGGGGCAGTGAAGCAAGAGCAGGCCTATCCCGGGACAGCCATGGTCCTGGTCCCTCGCTAACCTTTTCTCTGCCTTCTCTCTCAGAAGCTGCCAAGAACCCTATTCTTCACGTGAAAGCCGAAGTGCACAAGTCCTTGGACAGTTACGCAGCCAGCTTGGCCAAAGCCATAGAGGCTGAAGCCAAAGTCAACTTATTTGGGGAGGAGGCTTTGCCTGGGGTCTTGCTTGCAGCACGGACCGTCCCCGGGGTTGGCTTTGGGAGCCGCCGAGGCAGCAGAACTCTCGCGAGTCAGAGGCTGCAGCTGCAGAGCATCGAAGAGGGGAACGTTTTAGCCGCGGAGCAGACGTGAGGGTGGATGCCCTCAACACACACTGGTGTGCAGCCATCAGAAAAAACACTGAAAACAATGTCTGTAAGTGACTTCCGTGTCTCTGTGAGACCACACGTGGGCTTCCTTGAGGTCTCAGCGATGGGACCAGAGGCATCTAGAGTACAAAGCAGAGCCAGCGGAGGTGTGGCTGAGACTTTGTGGGAGGTGGGCCGTAGAGGGGAACTAGAGACCACGGCTTAGAAGGAGACCGCCACGTGGGTCACTTCCTCCTCTGCACAACCTGTGCCCCGGGGGTCCAACCACGCACTCTCCCGGAGGCCTCAGGAGGCGAGCCCTTCCCAGTGCCCTTCGGAGGATGGCACTTCTTCTGGGTGGTTGATGTGGACCCTGCTGGGCCGTCAGTTTTACACTAAATGGTCCCCAGAGGAGAGCCCAGGAGCCGAGCTCCCCAGATCCGGGTGCTGCGCCCTGGGGTCCTGGTTATGACCTGGCCTCTGGTGGCGCCACCTGCTGGTGCTAGTAGGGACAGCTCACGGGCCGCTGGGCGGACGCAACAGGTCTGGGGCTGCTGTGGCTGAGGACGGGGCTGCCTCCCTAGTGACTGAGTCTTTGCTATTTCATAAGAAGGGAGAAACCACTGTAAACGACAGGAGGAAGGAGCAGATACCAGATGTTTCATTTCTAGAATTAAAAGAAACAAAAAAATCCATTTGGTTAGGATGAAACCACGATCTTAACTGAGCCTGAAAGGGCCATGGGGCCAGGCGCTGCTGGGAACTAGAGATACTGTTATCGTTGGAGGGAATCCCCTTCACACAGGAAGACCTCATGGAATAGACTGGGCTTGTGGTGTTTGATGGACTGCTTCGATTGGCTGGCCTCCAGGGAATGCTCCCGCAGGCAGCAGCTCCTGTTGCCCCGCCCTGAGCAGTGTAAGACGGGACAGACTGGAAGAAACGCTGGACCTGGCGTCAGCAACCTGCACGCAGGCCCGGCTCCGCCGTACCTTCCTTATGTCATTGGGACTCCCTGTCACCCCTAGGCCATCTGGAAAATAAGATAAGGGAGTGAGGAGTTGGATTGAATGGTGGCCAGGATCATTTCTGACTCTGACCTTTGATGTTCTCTGAATTTGTAAGTTAGAAAAAAAAAAAGTGACCCATGGACCAACGTTTGCACAGCTTTTGAGTGTGGTTTCTAGTGGGCATGTGAAGCACTGCTGCAAGCCCGGGTACGTGGGCTGATCCGATGTGTCTAGAGCACAGTTCTGACAGGATGCCAGCCGGCAAGACACATAAATGGGGGCAGAGGCGGAAGTGGGCCACGCATTGTGACTTGTATGTTAGATCTCTCTCCCTTGGAGTTGGGATGGCAGTTACATGTGTGGGCTTGGAGCGGTGGCTGTGGTGACGTGAACCACCTGTGCCTGCCCTTCAGCTTGGGTGATTAGGTCAGCCAAGTGCAGACCTTTCCCCGCCTTCAGAATTCCGGGGGGTCAGCAGAGGGTACATTCTGAGGAGATCTACCTGCGTCTGCTATGAGGCAGCCATCCCAGAAAGGGAATCACTTTTGTGGCGTTCCATTGGGGTCTAGCTAGCTCTCAGTGAGGCAGTGTCTCTTTGCTGTGTGGCAGAGACCCAGTGGTTGGCTGGTCCCCTGGTCTGCAATTTACAGAAGACTTCCTGAGACCTGGGGGCTGCTACCTTCACGGTGATCAAACTCGTCAGCAACTCCTGTGGGTCAGCTGGGTGCCAGCCACTGGTCTGCATTCTGGATGGGAGTGGGAAGGATCAGAAGGTGGTTTCACCCTTGGGTTCTGCCGATGAGATGTGCAGATCAGTCAGACTCTGCTGTCACTACTGGGTGGCATTCCGAAACCTGAGGGCATTTTATGTTTTCTGCATGTATTTTTTCCTAGCACTTGTCCTTGTCTAGTTTCTAAAGGGACCATACTCCTGAGCTTCTAGTACGCACCAGGGTGGAACAGGGCAGGGACCTTTACCTCTAGGTTGGAATAGCCCACGATGCCACCCCTCCCCCACCCCTTAGGGCATTTTGAGTGCTGCAAAGTGACTTGCAACCCAGGGGCTGGAGAGTGCTTCCCCTGGACAGTACTTAGCTGGGCTCTAGGGAGAGAGTCCTGAGACACCTCCCGGCCTCCAAGTCCTCACTGGCTGATCCCAAACTAGCTCAGATACACTAGGATTTAATCTAAGCCAATCTAGCGATACTGCACTTCCTGAAAGCATTCTGTGCGTTTCCTCTTTTCTGCCGAGGTCCATTTATTTATTCATCTACCAGACACTGCACATCCAGCGTGTGCAAGGCACCAAGCTAGGCTCTGTGAGTACTAACACTAAAGCGTTTTCACTCTAGCATAGGGAGAGCCCTGGGAGAGACTGAGGCTAATAAATTGCAAAGTCCATTAATGATTATAGAAAGAACTGTGGGCTCCAGAGGGAGGTGAATATTTCCAATTAGAAGGAGTTAGGGGTAGCACCATGTAGGAGGTGACTGTTTGAGCCAAGCCTTGGAGGATGTCTGGCAGCTGGAACCATATTTTGCATATTCATGAATTCAGATTTTCCTTGATTCAGCCTGAGCAAGAGAAAGGAGAGCAAAAGGAGGTGGATGGGGGAGAGGGTGAGGACATAATCCCCACACGCCCTGAGGTTTCTGAGAGGATTTTTGAGGACCCCTGTCCTTAGTGCAGAACCCCAACTGCCCCCGCTGAACCCAGGCCCATTATAATGCTTTATTCTGCTGTGCAGCGGCAGCCTGAGGACTTCCTGAGGGGGCCACGTGGACAGTGGCAGGTGGGACACTTGGCCACTTGTTCACGTAAAAACCTCAGTCCTGCATCTTCTGGTTTTGACAGGACCACGTTTAGGACTGTTGCCCATCTCTGCTTCTTTCATAGAGATTGCCACTTGACCGGGTCGCCCCCAGTGCTATACCCCAGATACCAGGTTTGGGGGCTAGTGTGACCCAGAAGGCACTGGAGTCCCACGCCACCGAGCACACAGCTCAATCCCTAGCCTTTTCCCAGGCCAGACGCACCAAGACTGGAGTTCAGGGCCTTCGACACTAGGTGGCAGCAGTGTGGCTCTGATGCCGCTGGCAGTTCCCCACCGGGAAGAGCTAAGGGTAAAGCTGAAGGCTTGTTTGCTTCTGGCTTCGAGCACTTACTCTGAGCTCCTGGTCTCCACTGCAGTCCTCGGCCTTTAAAGGACCACCCAGCTAGCTTGCTTACAAGTGTGACCCCATTCGGGGTTGCAGGTACTGCCAATGCTCAGCTGTGTGAGCTTAAGCAAATCACTGCTGTAGAAACGGGGTTGAGGAATGTTGAGACGAGGGCCATCTGGTGCTAATGTTCTTTGATTCTCATTTAAGGAGCTGCTGTGTAGTCTCTGAGTAAACGGCGAGACTAACTCAAGTGTTTGCAATAGGCCAAGGTAGTTTGGAGTGGACAGGAGAGGGAGGAAAAGCGCTTTGATACAGTGAGAGACTTTACTGGCCTGTTCAGATTTAACTAGATGAGTATTTTGTCTATCCTGATAGTGGGTCCTTGAAATACTTGCAGATTAGAGACGGGTCTACGGATGGACCACAGGATATACTCACGACAAGGGTTCAGCCTTGAGCCCCAGCCGTCTCCCGTCTGGAAAGAACTGTGGAGGTGATGTGGCTACAAAAGGATGAGACAGGGAACTAGCACATAGTGAGGGCCTACTGTGTGCCTGACCTGTTAAGACATCTGAGTGCCCGTCATGTGCTAGGCATTAGTTGGGCACTTCCAAATGCTTTATCTCACTGCAAATGATATAGTGGGGATAGTGCAGGCTTTGGTATGGGACGTTCTGGGTTCGGATTCCACGCTGCTGCTTCTGAGTAAGGTGTCCTTGGGCTAATTACTCAATCTTTCTGTATTGCGGTTTCCTCATCTATAAAATGAACTTTGTATTCTGTTTCTATGTGGGGACACAGAATCCAGGGGGGCCTCTGATTATGTGGATTAGAGCATCCAGCACAGTGCCTGGGGCATAGCTGATGCTGAACCCCTGCTGTTTCTTCTCCACTCTGCAGGTGGGTGTATTATTCTTGTTTTACAGGGCTCTCGGTGACAAGAAGTGAGAATCTTAAAAAGATAACTGTTATCCTAGATAAGAGGTGTTGAAGGTTGTTGCCGTAGGAATCGTCACGTCTGCCGTACAGCATGAAGGGATGTGGTGAGAAAGGAGAAGACGATAGAGAGGAGGGGGTAAAGGCTAAGTGGCACTTGGGATTCAGGAGATCTGAAGGGGCGAAACTGAGCTTTTCTGTTACTGGCTATCGAAGATGGTAGAGCCCCAGGCTGCTGTGGCATCTGGAATCAAAGCGCAAGCTCAGCTTTGAGCTCCCTTACAGCCCAGAAGGGATGCTCTCCCTGAGATGTGACCTGGAGTCTCAGGGCAGCTCCATCCTGCAGTGACAGTGACTGCTTGGCCTTGGCTTTGGGGTTCAGATTCTCTGAGTCTCCGAGCCCCTGAGGGAAGAGGCAGTGCAGGGGCAGGAGGAGTCCATGCTGCCACCCACAGTGTACACAGAACCCCAGGTGAATTCCGTGGGAGAGTGAAGGGAAATCACATTTTCACCCTGAAGCAAAGGAAAACGGCTGTGAGCACAGTCGTATGTGACTACAAGAGGGGGCAGAGCCGGACCGTCCTTCTGGGTTGGGGAGGGGCACACACCGAATCCAAGGAGGCCTAGGGAGGTGAAGGGAATTGTCCAAGGTCTCAAAGGAGATTAAGCCAGGGTCGGGGCTGAAACGCCAGGTCTTGGCCATGTGACTGAGAGAAGGAAAGAGCCAGCTTTGCAGCTCGAGGAGGATGAGGGATAGTTAACAGTCATCATTATTAGAAGGCCAGTAGGGCTTTACTGCGTAGGTAGGACTATTGTAATGCAAGGAGTTTGGGAGACTGGAATATCTGCTTGCCAGACCTATAAAAAACTTCAGGCCTAAGGTGGCTGGATTCACTGGAAAGAATTCAAAGCACAAACTCGAATCTGCATAAGATTACCAAGAGCACAGTTCTACTCACTGTTATTTTTAGGAGAACAAAGTACGCAAAGCTATGTCAGTTTCCCTCAGAAGGCTTTTTCCGCAGGGGCTGTATGAGTTTCATAATCATAAACCATCCCGTTTTTTTCCTCTTTTTTTTTTTTTTTTTTTGCGGTACGCGGGCCTCTCACCGTTGTGGCCTCTCCCGCTGCGGAGCACAGGCTCCGGACGCGCAGGCTCAGCGGCCATGGCTCACGGGCCCAGCCGCTCTGCGGCATGTGGGATCTTCCCGGACCGAGGCACGAACCCGCGTCCCCTGCATCGGCAGGCGGACTCTCAACCACTGCGCCACCAGGAAAGCCCTGTTTTTCCTTTTGACACCACCATTTTGAAGTATCACTAATCATTGGTGAGTCTGACCCTCCCAAAGGAAAAGACAGTCCTAGGGAGGATCACAGGCCCGGGCAGGCGGCCAGGGGAAAGAGCCTGTCTGGCTGGAAATAGGTCTGTCAGTGACGTGGACATGCTTAAGGGACAGAGCCCTATGCTGTGTTCTGATAATGGACCCCTGGATGCAAAGGTGGTTAAAAACCAACCTTCAAGATAAAGACCAGCTGATCCTAAAATATAGTTCACTTGAAGTTTTTGGACGCTTATTTTTAAGATTAAAAAATGCTTAGGATTATTATAAACCAATATTTATCAAAAAGTAAGAGTGTACTTAGAATAGTTTTGTTTACCTGATTAAGTATCTGGGTTTTGGTCTGTGTAGGGCTGTGCAAATTGTGAACTTGTGCTTGAGCTTGTGGACTTTTTTGGGTGTCTCCCCATTTACTCCCACCCCTGTTTTCCACAGACATGTCTCTGTCTCCAGCCTCCCTTCCCATGGGCTAAAGAGAGGAAGGAGACTGAGCAGGAAGGGGCCAACTGTTGCACAATCCATACCACAGTCGCCTGGGTACATCCATCCATGTGTTTTTCATGAATTCCCGCAAGAAAATTAGCTTCATGGAATATTGTTAAGTGGCGTGGAAGTGATCAAGAAAGAGACAACAAACAAACACTGTTAACCCAGAGTTCTAAAGGAGGTTTAATGAATAGCAGTGCTGTCTCTCGATTTGTCCATCCCATAACCGAAGTCAAAGGGCGGGTGGTAGATTATCAGAGACTTGGAACAGCCTCAAGGCACAGAGCCCACCACTTCTGTCTGACCCTACACCTGCCACCACTAAAGCCGCATTCCTTTTCTAAGTGGGTAAGTGAGCCCTGGGGTCCACTGTCTCCCCTGCGACAAACACTGGATCATGGAAGCGGCCAGGACTCGTGAACTCTGCCTCTGTAGAATGTCTTCTCTCCTAGCTGCCTCCCTGACTGCTTGTCTGGCCTGCCCTGCTCCTTTATAACATATAACACCAAAACTACAAAATCGCTAAAGGCAGGGGGCCTGATTCCTTGGACAAATACCACTTTGTAATGTTTGGGTTTAAAAAAAAAAAGAACAGTTTTAGAGCAGTTTTAGGTTCCCAGCAAAACTGAGCAAAAAGCTCAGAATCCCCCCACTCCCACCTGCCCAGCCTCCTCCACTATCGACATCCTGCGCCAGTGAACAAACGCCATCGATTTTCTCCTCTTGCTCTTCCTGCCAGAGTCACCCTTGACCCCACTGAGTACTCCAGTCTGGGCTGTCGGTTTTCCAGCACTTCTCTATAGCATAATCCCTCTTACTGTCATGTTATGTGGTGTCATGTTATACGCCGCATTAGTCTTTTTAGTTATTCTGTAAACCCTTCAACCTCTCGTGGGGTCCTAACACAGCCCCAGGGACATAGGTGGTGCAAATATGACTACCTCTGTCTGAGGGAGGAGGAAACAGAAGCCCAAAGAAGTCACATGGCTTGAGCAGATCACATAACTATTTGGGTACCAGAAACTGAGACCTGGCACTTTTTGGAAATCATGCATTTGCCCTGTTTGGCTAAACTTCTAACTCACTCCTTTCTTTCCCTTTGACCATTTAGCATATTCCTAATATGGATACATATGCATCCTGCCCAGGCTAAGAGCTAGATGTTGAGGTCCAACTGAAGTTACCGAACCAACCAGAGTTATTTTTCCTCTGTCCAGAAAGCCAATCTGTCTTCTGTCAGCAGCAGGTGTCCTTGGGCTTGCAGCCATGTTCCGGGGAGGAACCATCCCTGGTCTCCACACGGGAGAGGGATGCTTTGCCTGGCCACACCTGTGAGTCTGTTCATGGCCCAACGAGAGTGGGCATGACAGTTTAGGAGACAGGAGAGAGGATGGCTGAAGGGTTAAGTCTGCAGGTGCAGCTTCAAGTCGTAACCTGTAAGACACAGACCTGGGTGTGGATGGCTTAAGTCGAGTGACGGTGGACACGAGAGACGAGGAAGACCAGGAATTAGAAGACTGGATGGTCAACACTTTCAGTTGAAACCTAGAAGTTGGAGAAAGGAAGGCTAGAAGCCAGAGCTCTCAGAACTGGCTTGTGCTAATATGGTGTGTGAGTATCCATGATGCTCTGGGATTGCTCATAGCCTGACCCCTGTACTCAGGTAATGAGGGACCACTGATCATGAGAGATGATGATTGGGGGTGGAGATAAAGTACTTTGAAAGGAGAAATGAAAAAAAGCTCTTCTATGTGATTCTGTCACACAGAAGTCAAAACTGAAAAGGTTATTTAATCTAGAAAAGAACAGAGAAAGACAATCTTAGGTTACAAGAAAAGATTTGGAAAACGTGGGTCAAGGTATCAAGGCATTAAATAGTCAAAGTCAGGATATCTTAAAACAACCAACTTCTTTAATTAGAAAGCAACAAACATGCAAATGGCAAGTGTAGAAATTTATTTGAACCAACATTTTCACTATAATGAAAATTACTCTTCAACAATGATCCAAGCTCCCACATTTGAAGGTTAGGGAAAATATTGCACTTTGCATTTTCTAGCACTCCTCATACATGGCAAAAAGTTTTTAAAACATTTCGCTAGTTTTGTTTTACACACACTCCCAAATTCATGCACACAATCATTCCAAACCAATGTTAGGTCATCCCCCCAAAAGGGAAAAACTCCAAAAAACCACAACCTTAAAATTGCACTGAAGCTCTGTAAAGAAAAAAATATAAATGTCTTATACAAATTTCCGAACATCTAAGTGCTTGCCAATAAGAGATGATTATTCCTCATCCTCATTTTCATTCTCCTGACCAGAGCCTTCTGATCTGTCACTCTCCAACCGGTCTGGAAGACAGAGATATGAGACAAAACGAAATACCTTTATTATTACAATTAAAATAAGTTTCAATGCCTTTTATTCAAAACTGATTAAAATGTATATAACTGAGAACATCATGTAAAAAATCAGTTCACAGCTGTGTGTAGAAAAGTTATTTTTGCCTCTGGAGACAAAGAGTAAAGGAAACACAGCACTCTCAACTTTGAATATTCATGTAATTCCAAAGATGTAAAAAGTACAAAGAAAAAACCCTAAAGATCTTGACCTACTGTGGTCTACTGCAATGATTTCAGACTGTGTTCCTGGGAGTCTGGGAGCCCTAGGAGGTGTATCAGGTGTCACCAAGGGGAGTGAGAGGCAAGCTGTGCGAGAGAATTTGGTGATCGTCCTTGAGGATCTGTGTATTTGTTTATAAAAACATTTCTTAAATATCTGCTATGTTCCAGGATACAATGGTGACCAAAGCAGTCACAGCCTCTGTCATCAAGGAGCTTATCTGGACCGAACACTCAAGGGAGTGTACAATTACAGCCCGGCGAGTGAGCACGGCACGTCCTCTCAAGTTCCATGATTTACACTTGCTGTTCCTCTGCTTGGGACACCTTCACCCAGTTCTTCAGCTATAATGGTTCTGCTTACTCATCTCGATACGACTATTATTCCCTGTGTGAAACTTCCCCCAGACTTTTTCAAATACCCAACCTGCAGAATTATGAACTCCTTCCTTCACATTCCAGAATATTTTATATGTATTGTGTAATAATTACAGTAATAGCTTGTTTGCCTGTCTTCTTACAGACTAGACTGTGAGCTCCTGGGAAGGTGGTAGTTATTTCTTTTATGTCCTAAGGGTCTAGTACGAGAGGTTCAATGAAGGTTTATCAAATAAATGAACGTAAGTTTCACTAAGATAAGATATATTACGTTAGGGTATGTAAAGAAGGCAACAGTACCGAATCACTACCACCACTAGCATGGAACCCTTTCTATCACAAAAAGATTTCTCCAGGGTAAGCTGGGGGAAAAAAGGCTTAGACACGGGGGAAACAGTTCCGTCCCACTGTCAACACCAAGAGAAAACGGAATCCTGAGATTTTATTATCTACAGAGGCTTAAACACTCCCACTGGATTCTAAGTCAACAACACCAGTATACAGAAGGGATTGTATGTTTAATTGTCCAAGTGAATTAGATTAAATCCCCTCTACGCCAACTCCATTTCAATGTCAAACTAATGAGATAATGTATGTGTGTATGATTTGTAACCTGAATTATACAAATTTTAGTTATTATTATATAATAAGTGTTCAATACATATTTGTAAAATAAATGAACAAAATAAGATGATGACAGACCTTCACAGGTCACTAAGGAATCTAAACACAGTGGAAGACTTTCTGATCAATAAAAGGCTACCTAAGGGATGTTAGTATAAAAGAGATTACACTATTTTTATTGTATGATATACTTTCATGAGAGAAAAAAACATGAAGTTGCTATTCTGCTTAACCAGAGTATCGTGAATAGGATACAACTGACTATATTCAACAAACCTATTCTGTCATATTACTGGAGCCTGAGGAAGCACTACCAGCCTATTTCAGAATGTGTAGGGTGGCCCAAATTCTTTCTGGTTGTCACACTTACGAATGAAGATGGGGAAATGGAGGGGAAGGAGGAAATGTCACAGCCTTCAAATCAAGGAGTTTACAGCAGACGTTAGAATTCTGCAGAGTCCAAAGCAAGTGATAAGAAGTCGAGTGAGGGCCCATGGAGTCTCATACAGGTCACACAGTAACTGACAGTGGCTTGTGGAATGAGGAA